AGATGATAGATAGCCAACGGGGCGCCTAGCGCCGAGTTGGCTATAATCATCTCATATCCAACAATAGCGAGTGGAATAATTGTTTTATTAAAAACGTTGAGTTAAGTTATTAAATTTTATTAAATTTTTAGCTCCCTTTTAATTTTAAGCTGACACGTTCGCTTGCCATATTTGTAGATTATGGTATATTGGCTGATATACCATAATGGCTAAGCCAATAAAAAGTCTTGAATTGCATTATCCAATGGTCTAGTTTTTAATAAATATGTATATACATTGTAAATAGCTTTTTAGTTTTTATTTTTTAACCTGAAGAAGGCCCAACTGCCGAAATGTAGTGCATTAAACTCGTCCAGAACAGTCAAGAGTTGGTCTCTTCGTTACGTCCTTATCGTACACTTAACTATATATACACACATACATTTATACACATACATATATACATATATAAATGTATATTTATACACCAATATATATTTTTCCTTTTTTTCTTCCCATAGGAGCTATAAAGCATAAATTTGACGATGCCCAAATGAACAAGAAGAGGCCTCAAATAAGGCTCTCCTTGAATAAAAAAAGGTTGGATTCCAAGAGAAAATTTCTCATTGTGGAGGGAGATGTTGACAAGTCCACGGACTGAATGAACTATCAAATGCCTCCAACAATTAAAACAATTGTTCTTAAATCTTTAACAACTCTTCTTGTACAATTGTCATTTTAATCATGAAGTTTACCAGTTAATGTTTCTCATCAAGATCTTTGTTAGTTATTAATTTCAGTGTTGAGAATTTGCAATAAATTTTGCATAAATGTTGGATAAAGAAATTGTACTAGCGACTAAATACAGGAATGGCTCCGACCTGTAATTGGATGATAAAAATAGTAAAAGTTAATAAGTTACATCTTAACTCCTTGCTCGTGAGTATTGTTTAACTGTGTGCGGAACAGTGAAATATCAATGCGACTGAAAACTCCGATGTGTCAAATAAGAGATGGTTACTTACATAACGAAGGGGAGACCTTTCTAGTTCAGCGATATTCCATCATGCTGACTCGTTCTGCTGACTAAACTCATTTAGTCAGTTCAGACTCAGTTCAGGTGGACGACTAGAGACTGGAGCCATTCCTGTATTTCACCGCTGGCAGGAATGGCTCCGACTCATGCGTTTATTAATTTTCTTTTTTTTTTCGTTTAGGCGAAATAAATTTTAAACTGAAATAAAATCGAAAGAATCATGGTACCTCGACATGATTCTGTGCGAGAGTTGCTACCACTGGTTTGACTGGTATGACATTCTATTTTGGTTTGTTTTGTTTTTTCCTTTTTTCAGGTATAGTGGAGTTGTTAAAAATTACCAAGGTGAAATTAAAGTAATCCGCGACTTTCTTCCTTTAGGTGTTGTGCAAAAATAGATGAGGAGCCCGATGAATGGATTTGTCTTTCATGTGAACAGTACTCCCAGAAAGTCAATGTTCCACGAAGGAAACTCCCTCGATTGCGGCCAAGCCACATTTCTCCAGCATAGCATGCTGTAAATTAACAATATCGGTGGGAGCGTCACGTAGCATTGCGTGACTTTCGAAACGTGACATGCAGTTGCTGCATTATTTTAAAACTTAGACACTACGTGGCCCCGTATTTATTTAAGAGGGCTTCACTTACAAGCACTGTAATGTCCAACTTAAGAAGAACTTAATAAAAAGTACTTTTGATTTTATCTCAGTTTAAAAATTATTTAGCCAAAACGAAAAAGACAGTAATAAACTCATGAGTCGGAGCCATTCCTGTCAGCAGTGAAATACAGGAATGGCTCCACACTCTGACCGTTCCCCTGAACTGAGCCTAGACTGACCAAATGAGTTTAGTCAGAGGAACTAGACAGCGGATAACTTAGTCATCGCCAGATCACCGCTGAAAGACCTCGCAGAACAAGAAAGGCCCTCCCTTCGTTATGTAAGTAACCATTTCTTGTTTGACACATCAGTGTTTTCGCTCGCATTGCTATTTCACTGTTCCACTTGGAGACACACGGTTAAACAATACTCACATGCAAGGAGTTAAGATGTAACTTATCAACTTTTACTATTTTTATCATCCAATTACAGGTCGGAGCCATTCCTGTATTTAGTTGCTAGTAGAAATTATTTCTTGGTTGGGATCTCCATTTCTCGCACATCTAGTTACTACATATTGCACAAACCATCAGATACCCACTAATTGGTTTAAAAAAAATTATGATATTTACTAATTTTAACAGATTCTGCAAACATTCATAAAAGTTGTTTGAGAATCTTAAAAGATCTTAAAGTTCTTTTGAAGATCATTTAAGATATCGTTGAGAATCTTAGCAAGTTCTTGTGTTCAACTTGTAAAGGTTCTTAAATAAGATTCTTTCCACATGAATCTGGTATCTGACTGAAATATAAGGATAGTCATTTTTCGGTCGATGTGCCACCTCTCACGCGGTCTTGAAGAAAGCTCGCTCTTAAAAATACTTCTTAAAACGTTTAACTTCAACCTCATGTCGGCACTTTATCATATGGCTTTTAGTGACGTTACTTCTTCAGACCTTTTGACGAAAATTAAGGCAGAAAAAAAAAATTTATTTCACTTAGAGGGCGCGTGTACCTCAAATCTAAAATAGAACACTGGCTTGGAAAATGGATTGAATTATCAAATGATGCGTCACTGCGTGTGCATTTCTGTTATAAAACTATTGATCTGCTACTTAAAACTTTCTTTTTTTTCAACTGAAATAATGACATTTACTTGTTCCCATCCTTTTACAATAAGTTCTTATTCTTGGCGAAGAAGTTGTAAAAAGCGTTTTTGTTAAGTTTGCATAGTTTTCCCTTTTTGTTTCAAACTCTCACATGTTTTCCGATTTGATGGTGTCTGTTTTTAAAAGAATTGTTGATAAAATCGATTACCAATTAAGAAGCAAACANTGTTTAATTTGTTAATAAAGTAACCCACCCTACTGTGTCGCCGAATTTTTTGCTTGTTTGATCTCAGCTTTGCCAAATTGAAGTCACTTCGTCGCTAAACATCATGTGCTGTTACTAACAGAAAAATAGTCCCTGGCGCTATAAATTACTTATGTATTAAACATTCTTTAACGATCAAGTATTCAGAAAAATTCTAAGCAGCATAGTTGTCTTTTTTTTTAGTAATTAGCCTGTTTTAAATTAAGAGACATCGTAGTCATCATTGAGTATACAAGCAAGGAAAAAGAAAGGGAACTCGCTTTATTTAATTTGCGTAAATATAATTTCTCAATCATAAGAGTGTTGAATCTACTCAGTTTTTAAAACTTGTCGATTGGTTGAACAATTGACTCTGAGAAGCGAAGGAGCGAGCACCGAAGTAACGAAAAGTCTCCACTTTTTTCACAACTTATCTTGTGTTATTGTCAGAAATAAAATCTTCAACACTAGCGCGCAAGAATTAAATATGCCTAGCGAAACAAACCTTTAAGCGTGAGAGAGATTGTTCTGTTTGAAGTTTTAAACCTACCGGATGCGGTTTTATAAATGGTCCTTTTCTGAGTGACTGAACTGAAAAAGAACCCTCGACCTAGAAATTTTAAATTAGAGAACTGAGCCCTGAAATATCGCATCCAACAGTTATCCGCAGTCGGTCTTCCTTCAGCATCTCCGGTATTTGTAAACGACTGTCCGTGATAATGCTCGCGCTTTTGTCACTGGCGGATGTTGGAGGTATCGCTTTTCCTGTGCAGTTGTTTATTGTCGGATCGCTTCTAACAGATCATAAAGAAAAAGGTAAACATAAGAGCCCTAATTTAATAAATGCGGTGATAGTGTTATGAAATTCATGAACATGTATTTTGTAGAGGATCGTGGATATCAGTCGAAAAATGCTAGTTTTTTTTGCCCCCTTAGTCTTTCAGTGATTTCAATACGTGTCACTTTTATTACGCTTGAATAAAAATGTGACTGTTATTGTTCAAGCTATTTCAGGTTTTCGATATCTATGGATTGATATTTGAAGACTGAAGGATCTAAAACTCATATAAGTTGTCATGAAAGATCATCCATTTTGTCGTTGCATTCCAACCCGTTTATCTGCTTTAGATTAGTTTCAGGTGAAATTAAAACAGGACATCCTAAAAAAAGTCTTATACGCCAATTTTCTATCACTTTCTTCAATTTTTCTACCCTGTTACCCTAGCGATATCGCCAAGCGTCAATATTTTATTCCTCTCGTCGTTATTTTCTTTTCCCTTCAAAGTTGAACTTCTTCAGGAACTTGTTTCAATTATCCTTTGTTGGGATTGCAATTAAGTATTTAATTGGCCACGTGATTCAATAGATGTGTTAAACAGCTTATTCAATTAAAAAACGTCACTTTAAGTCAATACTTGGGCAAAAAACGGGATCAAATAACGATTTAAAAACGTTGCTAAGTAACATTCAGGTAATCAGATGACGGTTTGACTCAATTAACAAAAACTGTTAAGATTAAAGAACACCTCAGAATCAAAGTTTTTGTAGGTTGTTGAAGAGAATTTTCTTATTTTGAAATTTCATTCAAGTGCAATTGTTGTAGTATAACGTTTGCCTGAAACATTTAATTGCCTATAATTGATTTGATTAGTTTGCACGTTAATGAAGCCCTAATTAGTTTTCGTATTGTGACGTTTTAATTATTAAAGTTCATTTCAATTAACTCATTTCGCGTTAACCACTCGCCGAGGTCAGACGTGTTTTTCGCTGCTCTCGGAAGTCGTTGATTTTGCTTCGAAACTAAACATGATGAACGAGGAAAAACAAACACCTTTACTATCTGCCGACCATCCTCCAAAGAGTAAGGTAAGTTAAACAAACTTTGCATCCAACTCTCAGGCGGCTTCTGTTTGTTAAGTGCGCGCATCTCACTAAAA